TTTTCCGTCATTTCATCTTCTATATTACTGATTCTCTCTTCTGCCTCATTTATTCTAGCATTTAGCGCCCCCATTTTTGATTGCACCTCATTAATAGCCTTTTTTATTTCTACTTGGTTGGATTTTAGTTCTTTTATTTCTCCAGAAAGGGTTTCTCTAATAACTTCCATATTTTTTTCAAGCCCAGCTAGTATCTTTAAAGTGATGATTCTGAACTCTAGATCTGACATCGTACTAATGTCCGTATTGAGTAGGTCCCTGGCAGTCGGTACTACCTCTTGTTCTTTTTGTTGAGGTGATTTTTTCCGTCTCGTCATTTTGTGCAGAGGAGGATAGATTAATGAGAGAACAAAATGCTAGCAGAGTAACAACGTCCCCAGAAAATATACTCTAAACAAATCAGAAAAGACCTGAAGCAGTGGGAAAAGAAAGGGAAAGAGAGAAAAAAGAAAAAGAAAAAAAAAAGAAAAGATAAAGATTAAAACAAAAAGAAACAAAACAAAACAACAACAACAACAAGAAAAAGCCAGAATGTGATCAAATATGATCAGGCTGGTATATAGATCAGTGCCACACACTAGATTTGGGGTGTATTTTGGTCTTTTAGGAGAAAGTGCCTCCCAAAATTTTAAAGAAAGAAAAACTTATATATGTACAAAAATAAGGGTTGATATGATGAAGGGATGGAATATGACTGTAAAGGTGGAAATTATAAAAAAATTTATAAAAGGAATTGATAAGAAGTTGTTTGAAAAAAGAAAGAAGAGGATTTAAAAAAAGAAAAAAGAAAAAAAAAGGGGAGAGGATGTGATCAGGCAGGGGAATAGAAAACACCATATACTAGAGATTTAGGGTATATTTTAATCTGTTAGAAGAAACTATCTCAAAATTTTAAAGAGAGAACAACTTATATATATAAGCCAAAAATACGGGTAACTACTATGAAGGGATAGAATATGACTCTAAAAATGAAAAATAAAAATGTTTTTTTTTAAAATAGGGATTGATAAGATGTTGGTTGAAAAAAGGAAAAAAAATTCAAAAAGAAAAAAAAAGAAAAGACCGTTAAAAAAAAAACCTAACTTTGAAAGACTAAAGAATCATGGTAAAAAGGCCATGAATTCTATGTGCAGTATTCCCCTATTGCTGGAGTTCTGCCGTTCTCATTGATCGGTAAACTGGGTCTTGGCTGGCTGTTCTCGCTGATCTTCTGGGGAGGGGCCTGTTGCCATGGTTTCCAAATGTCTCTGCTGGAGGCAGAATTGCTCCGCCCTTGCCCCCTCCCGGCTAAGTAATGTGCTCGGGTTTGTTCTCCGGGGCTTTTGTTCCCTGCGAGTTTTCCGTACAGCTTTGGAGGCGGAGAGTGAAAATGGCAGCCTCCCAATCTCCGCCCCGGAGGAGCCGAGAACTCGGGGCCCCGCTCCTCAGTGAGCCCCCAGAGAAAAGCCGTCAGTCACTCCCGTCTCCCCGGTCTCCGGCCGCACTCCGTGCTCACCCAGCCTGTGACCGCGCGTTTCTATCTCTGGCACCCGACCCCGGGTGGAGTCTCCAAACCCAGCAGATCCCTGCGGTGCGCTCCCGCGCGGCTCCTCCCGGGGGAGGAAGGTGAGTGTCCCCGGATCTGCCGCTTGTTGGGTCCCTGCTGGAGGAGCAGGGGCCCAACGGTGCCGCGGATCACGGTTTCTGGCAACCCCGAGCTGAGAGCCCGCGCCTGGGCTCCGCCTCTGCAGCCGGCTTCTGTGCTCCGTTACCTGGGAGCTCTGCCACACTCAGGCACCCCCGGTCTTTCTGTGACCCCGAGGGCCCTGAGACCACACTGTCCCGGAGGGTTCCACCCCCCCGCTTAGCCACCAGAGTGACGTCCCTCGGCGGAGCAGACTTTTAAAAGTTCCGATTTTGTGCCCCGCAGCTCTATCACTTGCCAGAAGCGGCCGATGGAGGCCCCTCCCCCGCTGTCTATCCTTCCGAATATCGCCTCGGATTCACTTCTCCGGACGTCCTACCTCCAGAAAGTGGTCGCTTTTCTGATGAGAGAGTTGTTGCTCTTCTTTTCTTCGATCTCCTGTTGAGTTTGTAGGTGTTCAGAATGGTTTGATCCCTATCCAGCTGAATTCCTGAGAGGAGACGAAATCCAGGTCTCCTACTCCTCTGCCATCTTGCTCTGCCCCTGTGCTGTCTTTTTAAATACAGCAGACTTCACGGTCACCTCTGAGCCTGCTGAACCCCTTTCTCCTTCATATGATTTTTCATTAGTCAAGTAAAAGGCTCCTTGTTTCTAAGATTTGTGAGTTTTACTATTACATGCCGGGGTGTTGGCCTGTTTTTCTTGATCTTGGGAGGGGTCGTCTCTGCCTCTAGGACACGAATCTTTGTTTCATTCCCCTGATTAGGGATGTTCTCAGCTATGATTTGCTCAAATATATCTTCTAGTCCTCTCTCTCTCCATCCCCTCTGAGATTCCAATAATTCTGACATTGGAATGCTTCGTGGTGTCACTTATTTCTCTGATTCTATTTTCATGGATTCTGAGTTGTTTTTCCCTGGCTTCCTCTTTTCCCTTTTTATCTATTAAATTGTCTTCCAGGTCACTAATTCGTTCTTTTGCCTCACTTACCCTAGCTGTTGGATTGGATCTCATTGATAGCATTTTTAAGTTCTGCCAATTCAGCTTTCATTTCCGCCCTTAGAGACTCTGTGTTGCCATTAATTGATTTCTCCATTCTAGCTATTGTCTTCACAATTGCTAGCCTGAATTCCATCTCTGACATCTTGGTTATATCTGAATCCATTTGTAAATCTGCAGCATAAGTCATAGTCTCTGAGTCTTTCCTATTTTGGGGGTTCCTCCTAGTCATTCTGTTGATGGGTGGTTGAGGGAATGTATAGAGTCCAAATTATTGACCACAACCCAAGCAAGATGCACCTGTTTCCTAGGGACCTTAGGGTTGCTGGCCTCTTGTTCTCCCAGCCTGTCTTCTGGGCGCAGGGCCTGCTGCACTGTTACTCAGGCAACCCTGTTTGGGCAGAGTTGCCCTGCCCCCCTGTGGTGGGGGATGGGCTCAGTAGGAACCAGTTTTGGGGGCTTTTGTTCTCTGGCAGCTTTCCCTGGTGGCTTTCTGTGCCTCTTCTGAGAGTCAGAGCAGAAGAGACCGTGTCCAACCCTCTGCCTCAGAGCAGAGAGATCACAATCTGTTCTTCAGTGAGCTCCCCAGGCCACAGTCTCTCTGTTTCTGTCTGTGCTGCTATAAACTGCAGCATCCTGGGTTGTGTGCCCCTCTGCAGTGCTCTCAGTCCTGCCTCCAGGTTGGGGCACGTCTCTGCCCTTTGTGCCTCTAAAACCGCTAGCCGCCCACAGTTCGCTCACATGACCCACCGCTCCAGTTTCCATCTAAAGTCCTTTCCCCACCACTACTGGTCTGTGAGTCTGTGCCCCGTCCCCAGTGCGGGAGGCTATTGGGCACCGTCGGTGTAGGATCCCCACGGCCAGGCTCCCTCCCCGCTGCCATTTATCCTGATATCTGCCTGCAGAATTATGGCTCCCCACTTCATACCTCGGAACCAACCGCCGGCGATATCCTGTTTGTAGAGATCCAGATCTTCTTACATCTCAGGCTGGTTTCGTGGGTGCTCTGAGTGGTCTGGTAGATATCCAGCTCAATTCCAGGGACCAATTGGAATAGGGTCCCCTACTCCTCCGCCATCTTTTCCCCTCCCCCTGTCCTGACTTCTTTTAGATGATTAGAATATTCTTAGTACTCTATTTTAATGTTTGTACTGGAATTTTGGTATTACAGTTTTTTTTTAAGTTGTTGCTTTGGAAATCAAACTATATACACATAATATTATTAAGTCTGTATGGAGGTAATATTTTCTATTTCAAGTAAAATATGGACTCTTTACAACCACATAGGACCCTTTGCCTTCTTCCACTAACTTTTATATTATGACTGTAACACTAAATACAGATATATACATTGAAAACCACAAAAGACAAGGGCGCCTGTGTGGCTCAGTGTGTTAAACGTCTGCCTTCAGCTCAGGTCATGATCCCAGGTTCCTGGGATCAAACCCTTCATGGGTTTTCCTGCTCAGCGGGGTGCCTGCTTCTCCCTGTCCCTCTGCTGCTCCCCCTACTTGTTCTCTCGCTCTCTGTAAAATAAATAAAATCTTAAAAAAAAAGAAAACCACACAAGACAATTTTATAATTTTTGCTTTTAATAGTCCTGCATATTTTAAAGAAGTTGAGATATTTTATTTTGTATAAGTTGCATGAAATTGGTGATTTGAATAAATATTCAGATTCTAAATTTTTCTCTACAGTTAAAATTCACTAAAATAATTGGATTATTTTAAATTAATAAGTGTCTTAGGAAGGCCTCTCCTATAAACCCACCACCCATTCAATGAACTAGATTTTCTCAACTGAATCTCAGCTCTTGGCCTTCAAACCCACAATTTGGTAAAAGAACTACTTGCCTACTGTTTGTTTCTTTTTTAAAAAGAATATTTTATTTATTTATTTGAGGGGGGAGAGAGAGCATAAGCAGGGGGAGGGGCAGAGAGAGAAGCAGACTACCCGCTGAGGAGAATGCCATGGGGGTCTCCACCCCAGGATCCTGAGATCATGGGACAGATGCTTAACCAAGGGAGCTACCCAGGCACCCTCCCTCCCTGTTTGTTTCTAAGGACTCTGTTTTCTTAAGAGCTAGAAGTCCAACCATGAAAAATTAAGCATTTATCTCATCCCTACCTATCGTCATTATATTTGATGTATCTTTAGAAACAGAATTTTTTTTATTATGTTACATTAGTCACCATACAGTACTTCATTAGTTTTTGATGTAGTGTTCCATGATCATTTGCATATAACACCCGGTGCTTATTGCAATACGTGCCCTCCTTAATACCCATCACTGGGCTAAGCCTTCCCCCCACCCCTCTGCCCTCTGAAATCCTGTTTGTTTCCTGGAGTCCATAGTCTCTCATGGTTTGTCTCCCCCTCTGACCTTCCCCCCCCTTTCAGTTTTCTCTCCCTTCTCCTAATGTCCTCCATGCTATTCCTTATGTTCCACATATGAGTGAAACCATATGATAATTGTCTTTCTCTGCTTGATTTATTTCACTTAGCATAATCCCTTCCAGTTCCAGCCATGTCAATGCAAATGGTGGGTATTCATCCTTTCTGATGGCTGAGTAATATTCCATTGTATATATGAACCACATCTTCTTTATCCATTCATCTGTTGAAGGACATCTCAGCCCCTTCCATAGTTTAGCTATTGTGGACATTGCTGCTTTGAACATTGGGGTGCATGTGGCCCTTCTTTTCACTACATCTGTATCTTTGGGGACCTAGTAGTGCATTGCTGGGTCATAGGGTAACTATTTTTAACTTCCTGAGAAATCTCCATATTGTTTTCTAGAGTGGCTGTACCAGCTTGCATTCTCACCAACAGTGTAAGAAGGTTTCCCTTTCTCCACATCCACGACAACATTTGTTGTTTCCTGCCTTGTTAATGTTTGCCATTCTGACTGGTGTAACAATGTTGTTTTGATTTGAATTTCCCTGATGGCTAATGATGTTGGATATTTTTTCATGTGTCTGTTAGCCATTTGTATGTCTTCTTTGGAGACGTGTCTGTTCCTATCTTCTGCCCATATTTTGACTTGATTATTTGTTTTTTGGGTGTTGAGTTTGAGAAGTTCTTTATAGATCTTGGATACCATACCTTTATCAGATATGTCATTTGCAAATATCTTCTCCCATTTTGTAGGTTGCCTTATAGTTTTGTTGATTGTTTCCTTTGCTGTGCAGAAGCTTTTTATCATGATGAAGTCCCAATAGTTCATTTTTGCTTTTGTTTCCCTTGCCTTTGGAGACTTGTCTTGAAAGAAAAAACTTATTTCCAAGGAACAATTTGAGGTTGAAGAAGATGAGGAAACCCAAGGCAAGGAGTTGCCAAGTTTAGGCAACTGGAAATAATTCGGTAGTGAGGAAGAAACCAAAGATACTGGGGAAAGGAGAACTGCTAGAGTGCTGTTCTTGAGGAAGCAAAGAGGAGAGGGAAGCTAAGCTCCAGTGGAGGGGTGGGATTTCCATGGAGCAGGGACATTTCTCCCACATTTCAGGAGGGGAGGCAGGATGTGGGGTGTTGATGATAAATATTCCTCCTTTACCTTTACGTTTTAAACTTCCAAGAGCTAATGAATTAAGTTTATTCTTGTGGATAAATATATACAGAGAAAATATTCAGTCAGAAGCTGGCATAAGAATAAGGTAAAATGTGGGCGCCCGGGTGGCTCAGTTGGTTAAGCGACTGCCTTCGGCTCAGGTCATGATCCTGGAGTCCCGGGATCGAGTCCCATGTCGGGCTCCTTGCTCAGCAGGGGGTCTGCTTCTCCCTCTGACCCTCCCCCCTCTCATGTGCTCTCTCTCTCTCATTCTCTCTCTCTCAAATAAATAAATAAAACCTTTAAAAAAAAAGCATAAGGTAAAATGTAATAGTTAAAGGCGATTTCATTATCAGGCCAACATTTAATATTGAACTTTAAACTGCTTGCTGTTTTCTATAGCTGCTATCTCAGACTAAAAGGAGTTAGTTGTAAAAATAAATGCAACAAAATCTTTAATAAAATGGTGAAATGTCAAAGTTTAAAAATTAATTAATGAATAAGCATCCTAAAAAATAAGGAAGTTTCTCCTGAAGATAAGAAATTATAAGCAATGTTTGAAAGGTGGCAAGAAGATATTTCCTGAGTGAATGACTAAACCAAACCTAAAACTAGGCATAGGATAGAAGTATTTTCAGAAGCAGACAGGTGGTACAATCTTCCTGCAGTCAAAATCAGAGGTTCCTCCCCACAGTGGTGAACATAGGCATTTGGTGCTCTTGCTCGTAGTTGAGATTCTTCAGATTCCAGCCCTTGTGCCTGGGTGCTCCCTTGTGGGATGGTATGAATAGCATTTTCACACTGGCTGCAGAGGAATTAGAGCATGTGTAAGAACGTTGGCCTATAGTTGTGTATCTTTTTTTTTTTTTTCTTTATGATGCAGCCTGTAGAGTCCTCTGACAGCTACCCAACCCATCATAACATTATCCTAATGGGACAGTTTTTTCCATGCTAAATAATTATCCTTTCTCCTGCAGTCTCCATAACTAGGTTCTAGTAAATAACAATGGCTATTACATTAGCTCTAGAAATAACAATGAAATATATAAGGTAATGTGGACTGGAATCTGCTGTTGTGATCTTGCCAGAGTCTGAGAGTAAAAATTTCCTTGTGAGATCTGATTCCCTCATATAAAAGAGGAGCAAAAAAATGTGTTTTCTTACTTAATAGGCTATTTTCCTTCCTGTGAAAATGGAATTTCTCTTGGAAATTCCATTTTGGAGTTTTGGAGTTTAGTTTCTTTTTCTCTTCCTCTCTCTATCTGTCCCCCACCCTCTCTCCCTCTCTCCCTTTCTCTCCTCTCAAGACGGTAAAAATGAGTCCAAAATGATGACATCACAGCTGCACGTAGTCTCATTCAATGAGAATCCCCAATGTGTGATAATTTACATTATCTACTGCTGATAACATTGACAAAAAATGTTGTAGGGCAGGGAAATAATTCATTTTTTGCATAAAAACATGCACTGTTTTTTCTTTTATATGACTATAAAAGAATAGCCCTATGAATGTCACACAAGAAGTAATATGGTGGAGCTAAGATTCAAGACCTTGTCTGAATGTGTGTTTCCCACATAATCTGCTGCTCCTGATCTTTACTGGTTAGCTACATGTCAGGACAACAGCCAGTTAAAGGCCAATCCAACAACTGGTTGATCATTCTACCAATCACAGTTCTTAATCCTCCCCCCTTGCCACTTCCCATTCTATGCTTTTCTGGCTGTTGTGATGGCTTATGAGGAGAATTGCAGAGACAGCCCCTGTCCTAGGGAATGAGCATTTAATCAAGAGAGAAATATGATACCCATGGATGTGTTAAAAGGCACTTAGTGGATCCCCTGAGTGGTTCAGGTTGCCAGGAGCTCAGAGGAGTGAGAAGGACCAGGTTTGGATGAAGTGGACATGAAGGACTTACAGAAGGAGGTGGCAGAGTTTACCATGGACTGAAGCGGGGGCACAAGGAGATGGGTAAGTGTGACATTCCTCAGGTGTAACTGAATGGATCACCCTCCCTCACCCCCACCCCCAGTCTTCCACATCTTTGTTGGCATATTTGTATGTTTGCACCATATTCAATAGCACAGAACCTCAGCCTTTGAAAGTGACCTGAAGCTACAGCTGAATCTCCCAACAGTCATTCCCACATGCTACAATGCTAATCTCTGTAGATGTAGTGGACATGGTAATGTGACCATTATGACCTCTACCTATTTTAGTAGATACAGATCCTTGGTCTTCTAAGACAACATAAATATTAACACTGGCAACAGTAATGAGAAACTAACATTACTGGATATATATTGCAGGCTGGGAACACTAACACCTTGATTTATTTAATTTCACAACAACACTATGAGGTAGGTACTAATATAATCTCATAATTAATATAATACTAATATAATCCTCACTTTACAGCAGTGATTCTGAGGATTAGAAATGGTGAAACCCAGGTCTGTCCGATTCCAATGCCCATAGGTATGACCACTTAACTGTATTGCATGTCTATCATGTTATAGATGCCTCTGTAATGTCAGCACTGACAGAAGATAGGGCTCTTAATCCTATCTGAACCTATTGTCCCTGAATAGTTGTCACCATCAAAAAGCATGCACTGAAAGATCTAAGACTTTTTTATTGTTTAAACTGCACAGACTCTTGTATCAGCAAAGTGATCCCCACAGAAACTTCACAAACTTGTCTCAGCCCATCCATCCAACCATCCATCCAAGACATATGTTTGTAGAGCTTCAGTAGGCCATGAACTATAGCCCAGACCCCATTAGACAGCTTTAGCACCATCCTGTGAGGTAGGGCAAGGGCCTCACTTAAGGAATCTTCTTCCTGTGTCAGAACTCTGGTCCTCTGTGGTCTCCTCTTGGACTGATTGCCTCTTTTGGCATTCTGTAACATATTTATCACCAACTCATAAACAAATGTTTTCAGATGCATCTGTACATTGAATGCATCTTTTCAGCGGCTGGATTTTTGAGATTATCCCCCAATGACCAACATCAAAGTACTAGAATATACACAAATGATATAGTGCTACAAGACCATTTGAGCAATGCTTAACTCAATATACATCACAAAGCCAGGAAGAGCAACATCTAAAACTTTGTGAAAAAAGTACAATTTGAGGGTCAATTTTGCATACGCAGGATAAGCCTCCTCCTGTACTTTATCACTGTACCTCCATATATTTATGCACTTGGTTTGCCACTCAGTAAATTTCCAGTCCTAGAAAGAGGATCTGTCAACGCTTTTTTGTTCTTACGTTGCTAGAAATTTAAAGGAACTTGTTCAACCAATCTCCCACTATGGTGTTCAAGAGATGTTATTTCAGCATCTGTTGAACTGCAGAGCTGTTTTATAAGATAACATTATCACAGTTTTGGGAATGTACTGTTATGATTATTTTTTAAAAAATATGGCTGCATATTCTTTCAGGTGAAAGTACTTAACATAGAGTTTTTTTCCTAAATTAGTAGTTGTACAAATGGATCTAAATGAAATGCAAATGTCAAAATAAGTCTCAAAAAAACATGTAGGTAATAATTTTAAAAATATAAGCTATCCCTCCCTGCTTTTCATGATCTGGTTTCTGCCTACATTCCTATCTTATTACTTCATTCCCTGTCTCTTACTCAGATACTTTATGCTGCAGTCACTGTGCTGCTCTGGGCTGAAAGGAGCTTTTCAGAACACACATGTGCATGTGTCTGTGCATGCACAGGACCCTTGTGACAAGCACATTTATTGAGTAACAATTCCATGTCTGTAGGTGGCCTCCCACAATACATCCAGTGTCTTAGTTTCCACTCCTTTGTTTGTTTCTTTTTCTCTTGAGTCAGATGGATTAAGCTTCAGTTGCCCTGGCAATCAACTTCAGTTTTTTATCTCAACCTCTGGCCACAGAAAGGGAGCAAGATGTAGAGAAGTGCTTTCTCATTTGTCCTGGATCTTCAGCTGGGCTGATGCCTGAGCTGAGTGACCCAGTGAGAATGCGCAGAAGAATGTTTCCATGACAACAGAATCCCACATCCCCTTCCAGCGCACAGGCCCTTCTCCCTCCCTCTCCCTGCCTGCTAGGATCTCCCCTGAGAATGGGAATGTGCTTTGGCTAGCAGGGAAGGGATAGATGTGTGGTAAAGGATGCAAAGAGAGAGATGTAATCTTGGGATGTCTTCAGAAAGGACTGGGGGAGGGACCAGAGTCCCAAAGAAAGCATTTTGTACAGCATTGAAGCCCCAGGAGAGGAAGACTATGAAAGCATAGTGGCTGTAAATGTGGTTCTGTAATTTTCTCCAGCAGTCCACGGTGTTACAAGCCAAGCTCCATGGCTCAGTCCCTGAAAAATGGGGCCTGTGTTGTTAAAGGAGAATGGAACCTGCTATCAGTTGTGGAGGCTGACAGACTGGAGAAGGACCTGCTCACCTCAGTGACTCCACCCTGTGTGTGTGTATGTCTGGTTCACTCTTCCTTTCTTCTGTACTCTGTTTTGAGGGTCTATTTATGGTATGTAAAATGTTCTAGGTTAAAGAAGAGGACAATGCAAAGATGCTCCAATCTCCTCTAACATGGACTCATTGGAGGGTGGACAGCAGAAGAGCTGGTGAGGATAATATGGTGAGATCACTTGTGCTCTTTAGACTGCATGGGCATTTTGGTTGATTTATTCTCCCAGATTGATGTGATCTTCATCATGAATGCCTATGCTCCGGACTTGACAGTAAGGGGCAAAAAACCACACAATTTGTGTCTAATCTGATATGTGTAATCAGATGCTATTGTCAACAACAACAAAAATCCTGGAATGCAAGGATTTAGTCAGAGTCAAGGAAAAGCTTTATTGCCATGCAGTTTGCAAGACAGAAAGACCCAGCCTTTGGCTATAAATGGAAAGTAGGCTCCAAAAGGGAAGGTTTAGGCTCAGGATTAAATAGGCAAAAACAGCAAGTTCTGTGCCTTTTATTGAAACTGAGAATGGTCAGATTCAGGTCCCAAACTGCAAACTTCAGGAGCAGAGAGACAAGCAGGATACAACTATTTCTGGTAGCAGTTTCAGGATGTGGCAGTCACTGAAAAGCATGGCAGAATGTGTTGCAGGTGTCATTTTGTGAAATTTGCTAAATTTTGTGCAAGCTTGTCCCCTCAGCCTGTGCTGACTGTTTTTTTTACTCATGGTCATTTGGCCTGATTAAAATTTTACTTTCTCTCCCATCTTGCCTATTAGCTGTTGCTAAGTACTGGGGTCTTTTGTTCTCACTATCATGTGAATGGTTCATTTGAATAAATATTCAGTCTGTTTTGGTGAAAATGCTCAGTTTCTCAGATTTCCACTTCACTTCTCTTCTTCTTTCCAAGATGGGGAAGGGGTATGTATAGTTTACAAGTCTCCTGGGTGATGCTGGAAGAGGGGTGTCTATGAAATTCTTATGGTGCTCACCGAATGCTCCCTGGTCTCTGAGGGGAGGAGGACTCTTGTCTCCCGGGTCCAGCTGGTGAGGCTGACCTGCACCACCCATGCATGTGGCTGGTGAAACTTGCATTTTCCTCTCTCTCCTCTTGGTCAGGACCTGGTGCTGCCTGGCTGAGCCAGCCTCAGCTCACCTTTGCTGGCATCTGTAGACCCCTCTGAATTTTGGTCTCAGCCTCCATCCCCACTCTGGGCGGGGCTGTCGCCCCAAGGCTCAGCTGCAGGGTCACCTAGTCCCTCGCCTACTTAGGCTTCCTTCCCCAACCCCTGGCTGTGGACTCAGCCACTTTCCACATTTCCCCCTCAGGGAATGCAGCCTCTGGGGTCTGGCCCATAGCACAGCAGGAGCCAAGATCAGCTCCAGAAAGCTAAGTTCCTAACCTCAGCCATCCCTCTGCCCACGGAGGCTGCTGGGTCATCCCGCAAAGTGAACGGACTCCTCTGAGTCCCAAACGTGAATGGGGGCAAAATGCTGTCCTCCGCTTCTCTGCTGTAGCTCGCTTGTCCCCTCCCATAGAGGGGAGACTGAGCCTTGAGAGCCTTCCCTCCATCTGCCACCTCCTGTGTGTGTCTTCTACGCCTCTGAGGCGGGGACAGAACATTCTTCTTTTGCTTGACCTTCATGCTGACGAGGCTCCCCACAGTATGTCCAGATCCCAAAGGGAAAGCTGTAGGATTTGCTTGCTTTTTTTTTTTTTTTAAAGAGATTGGCTAACTGATAAAGAAACATAAAATGGAAGGGATTACCAAACGTGACTGCTTGTGCCATCATCAGCAGGGCAAGATCTGTAAAAGTAAACTCAGAGCTCAAAGACAGACACCATGTTTTAAAAGGGCCCTAGGAGATGCCGTGTCACCAATTTTAATGTCAGTGCCCAGAGAGCTTCACTCCTCAGGCCTCTGCTCCCACCAGCGCCTGGCAACCATCCAGGAGAGTTGGGCAGCAGAGATGAACTTACCCAGAGCTTGTGATGTCTTTCAGGAGTTATGGGGCAAGCCTGGGTACGTGTTCATGTCTGACTAGTCCAGGAACATCTTGGAGGGTAGGCAAAATTTTCGTCCCATCAAGACAAGACACGCGGGGGCGCTCTGGCCCCCAGCAGCTTTTCTCAGGCTACTGAGTTCTCCAGCTGGCAGTCACTCACTGAAAAGCAATGATGTTATTAAACTCATTTTGAGAGCTCCCAGTGCCTGCCCTGTTCTGAGAATAGACAGTCTCGGTCACCCTATGGGCTCATGCCCTGACTGCCTTCCCTCTGGGCAGATGAAGAAATTAAGGCACAGGGAAACTAAGGAATGTGCTTGATGCCATGCAGCCAGAGAGCTTACTAGATGAAGTCGTGGCATCATTGCTGCCCACCCTGGGTGACCTTATGATGGGCTAACATCTTCTCTTTCTCCCTCTCATTTATCATGGTTATGTTATTTTAAGCAGCAGTGAACTAATTTAATGATTTAGAAGGAAAACAAGGCAGGGCACAGTATTCTTTGAGTCTTTAACACAAACACCTCAAAACTTACAGGAGTTGTGGGCATACATGTATTGCAGATTAGCTATAGAGTTAAAGTGAGATTCTCCAGTAAAACCTCCTGTGCTGTCCCCTTCTCCCCATGTCAGTCTGCAAGGAAGCAATGACAGGTCTCAGGTGACCTTTTATTCAGCATTCAACAACATTAATGGAACCCCTCTTAATAGGTGTTTTGTACTCTTATGAAAGCTGCTAATTTACACTTATTTTGGGAGCAAGAGAATACAAACCAACCAATGAACCAATGCATGAAGAAGTTAGTGTGGTAAGTGTTAGGAAGAAAATAGCCCAGGTCCTAGGCCAGGAACAATCTACTTACACAGAGTGGTCAGGCAGAGCCTCTCTGAGAAGGCAATGATGGAGCAGAAACCCTACGGCTGAGAAGGAACCAACCATGTAAAGATCCGGGGCTGGACTCTGCCGGGCAAAGAGCACCATGATGACCAATGTCCTGACCAGGGAATAAGCTTGGCATGTTCGAGGAACAGAGAAGTAGGCCAGAGTTATCGTCGTGGAGGCAAGAGCTGATGGGATTGTTTGGATATTAAAACAGTAGCAGTAGATAAGCACAGAAGGGGATGGATACAGGATATAGTCAGAAGGTCGGATCTAGAGGACTTGTTGCTGGACTGTGGTGGAGACCAACAAGATGCAACACGCGAAGAGGCATGCTTGGGGCACGTGAAGTGTATGCTTCCTCCTGGCCATCCAACAAAGACAGACAAATCTGGATCTCTGGGCACAGGTTGCTGCGTGAGGTAGGAATGTGGGAGCTCACATTGTGTACATGCTCTATTTTCTGCTGGCAAAAAGGATGAAACAACCCACGGAGAGAGTGTAGCATGAGAAGGGCCCTGTCAAAACTAAAAGCCAGTGGAAAGGGAGGAGTAGGCACTACATACTGACAAGGAGCAGAGTGGCCACTGGGGTTGGAGGAACAACACCCAGAGATTATATTGTAAAATATCCAAAAATTAAAAATGAAATAAAGGAAGTGAGGGAGGAGGGGAGGGAGGAACAGTTTCAAAAAAGAAGCAATTGTCAAATGTACCAAAGGCATTTGAGAGATGCAATAAATTGAGGATGAGAGCATCATCATAGGGTTTGGCAATATGAAGGTCACAAGTGCCCTTGAAAAAAATCAGTGTTTTTTTGTGGGGCAGGCTGGTAGAAGCACAATTGAAATGGTTAGCAAGGAAAATGGTTATAGAACAAGTGGAGATAGATTTGCTGTTTAGAGCATCAGGGGAACATGACAGTACCTTGAAAGTATATGAGATCAGAGATGGCTTTATGTTTTACTTCATTTTGTAGAAAGGGTGAGAAATATGAGCATATTTGTAGATAATTAAATGACCCAGAAAAAAAATGCGAACATGGCAATTCCAGACAAAAGAATGATCATTGCAAAGGCCTACTTACCCTCCAGGAGATAGGCATGGGATCCAGGTGAAGGGCCTGGCCTCAAGTGGGTTCAGGTCACTGCCTCCAGAGGGGCAGCAGAGAATGCAAGTGCTGCTTCCAGTGTTGCTAGGAAGTGGTAAGAGTTCCTGTTTGGTCCCTTCTCTTTTCTCAATGAATTATCATTGAATATCCTGAGAAGAGTGCGTGCTGGTGATTGTGGAAGGCTACTAGAGGTAGAGGAGAGAGGAGATACAGGTATGGAGGGTGCACAGAGTGTGTCCTCTATTGGGGGTGTACCAGGAAAGTAGAGATGAGGGAGCATGGAGCAAAAGCCATGTGTTTGAGGGGGAGAGTTTATAGCCCTGGGTAAGCTGGGAAAGGAGCAGCCTGGTGGAACTCAAGGCTGTGGGGTCGCTGGACTGGAGGTCCCCAAGAGGTTAAATGCTGTGGATGCAGAGTCATTAGAAAGAGGGAGCCCAACGAACAGGGCATCACGTTGCGGGTGATGACAGAGAGGAGTGCTACAAAGGGACAGCATGGAGGGGAGCAGAGCATGACCAAGGGCAGGGGGATGCTCCGAGGGGAGGAGGAGAACATCCCTGAGAACGGAGAGGCTCTGAGTTGACTGGGTCACCCTCGTGGGCCCTAAAGTGGCCCGGAGGAATCAGAGGAATGAGGGCTGAGAGCAGAGCGAGTGTGCCTCCGGGACAACCCTATTTACAGGCTGGGATTGGGCGGGAGGAAAATAACCAGGGACTCGGTACAGGGGCCGCACGTCGGGCGGTGGAGGCAGCTGGGAAGTCGGGCAACTGGACCCGGACCTCACCAGTCTGGTTTCTTACCGGACAGTTCGCAACAGTATTAGGGAAGACACCGCCAAAAGCACAGGGCAGATGGACTGGCATCGACCTCACTGATCTCCTGCGCGCAGGCCCGGAACTGACCAATCGGAGCCCAGCCCCGCCCTTCGGGCTCCTTTTTTTTTTTTTTTTCCGCTTGGTTCCGGGACTTCCTGCCTCTGTTGCTATGGTTCTGTGGGAGAAAATAGAAAAGGCTTTTGTGCTGGAGACGGTGCGGCAGGGAGAGTTCGGCCGGTTCTCTTTCACTCTCTGGTCTTCGCTCCTATCCCCCTTGGCTTCTTTAGCCACGATCTCCATTGCTCTGCGTGGAATATCAACAAAAAAGATAGATTTTCATTAGGGATTGGGGGCACTTGGTCTCACTTGCCCGCAGATGGCAATGTTGCGCCGTGCAGCCACCCTGCCCGCTTCTCCCCCGCCCTTCGTGCTTGAAAAAACTCCGCAGAGCCTTTTCTGCAAAAAAGCGAAGGCTTCTTTCTTGCGCCTGCGCGGGCTTGGCAGCACCTTGGGCTGGACCTCCTCCTTTCAATAAGGTCCCTTGTGAAAACTCAAGACCCTGGGACAAAACCCCTTTGCTTTTCAAGTTGGTTTTTCTTTTGATAGGCTGGCTATGTTCCTTAGCAACTTATATTTATGCTTTTTGATTTGTCTTGTGATCTTTTCTCAGCTTTCCTGGGTTTTATTGACTTGGCTTTTACATATGGTAAAATGTATTCTCTCATTATAGAAGTCACCCAGCCTCAGTATAGAACATTCGGAGGACAAAGTGTAATAAAGAAAACTAATAATATCCTTAGTCCCATTACCCAACAATGACTGTTAATACTTCGTGATAAATTTCCTTAGAGGTTTTTCATTCATAAAACTGATTTTAAGCATGAGGTTCTTATTGCATAACTTGAACATACCAGTTTTTAAACAGATTATTTAAACAGCCTGTTACCCCCATCGTAAAAATTATTTGAAAAAGATATTTAAGTTTCTTATTCATTTGTCTTCCTAAAACAATACACAATTTAAAAGAGTGAAAAAATTAATATCTGAGATGGAAAGCAGGAATAACTTGTGACCCCCATCTCAAAGGCCATTATCATAATGGAACCTTCCTAAGGTAGGGGTTATGTTCATTTTGCTTTGTTTTGCTAACTGTATTTTCAGCACACCAGCAAAACGATGCTTAGCAGTGTATTCTCAATATATATTTGTTGAATAATTGAACAAGTATTTCTTTCTGATTTTTTTTTTGTAAATATAATTTACTTTTTCATAATACTGAGATGGTACTATATGAACAGTTTCCTATATTGCTTTTTTCCCCTCTTCCATTTAGCACTCTACTGTGGGCAATAACTATGTTATTACACTTTTAAAGTTTTGCTGGCTGTTTTACCCTCTTCCCCAGTGAGTCTTTTATTTCATTCTTGTATTAGGGGCAGGAGAACATCCTGCAAACCAGTGTGCAATCTAAGGCCTGACAGACCTCAGACCTGAATGTTGAGGCCCTCTTTGAGGAGCCCTGAGACCCTTGAAAATTGACTTTTCCTCTGTGTGCCACACTTTCCATAGGTATAAAATGAGGGCAGCATCTGCTGTATGGGGTGGTGGCCAGCATAAATAACCCAACAGGTTCTTAGCTTGAACCTGCACTCCTAGAGATCATGTTATTATTGTTGGTGCTATCTCTAATATTTGCTATAATGTGTGTAGAAGGTACAGATCTTCAAGCCACAAGACTAAGTGTGATAAAATGTACTTTAAATTTACTTACAGGGGCGCCTGAGTGGCTCAGTCATTAAGCATCTGCTTTCAGCTCAGGTCTTGATCTTAGGGTCCTGGGATGGAGTCAGGCATCAGGCTCTCTGCTCAGCAGGGAGCTTGTTTCAGCCTCTACCTCTGCCTGCCACTCCCCCTGCTTGTGCTCTCTATCTCTCTCTGTCAAATAAATAAATAAAATCTTTAAAATAAAAAAAATAAATTTGCTTAGAGCACATATCTATTCTTCAACTACCCATTTCTGCTTTCCAGTGGAAAACTCACACTAGTAATTTCTGGGGAAATTCAGTCAAGTAAATGCATAGGATGAACACATTGATATATTCCTCAAAGATTATGCCATCATAAAATGAGAAGAATATTTTTGTATGTGCATATTTTCAACATCTCTGATTTTTAAAATAGTTTTCCAAGAGTAGATTTACTGAAATGAAGAGACATACACATTTTTAACAGTCTCGGTATACATTGCAAGAAATACAATACCCATTGGTATTGCCACCAACATTCTGTGAGAATTCTTGGTTTTTCATGCTCTCACCGGTATTTATTCATGTTTTAAAAATAATTACCTTGTTGACTTTAATAGTTATATGTAAAGATCTTGGCCCACATTTTAACATGTACATTATAAACACTTTTCTTGGATTTTGCATTTTAATTATTTGTGGTTTGCAGATGCATGGACAATTTTATTTTTATGTAGCTAATTCCATCAATCGTTCATGTATAGCTTTACCCGTTGGTACAAAGCTGAAAAAGTCCTTCCTGATCCACCCACTTTTATCCGTGCCTCTATTTGTGCTTCCAATCCCCTGACTAGTAAACTCCCTACTAAAATGCCTTGAAGATGCAAATCAAATGAAATGACAGTAACTACAGAGAGTTAGGATTTACTCCCAACTACTTGGTACAATCTGAGATTTCCCACTTACTAAAAGGCTGACTGAAATGACTCTCTGATCTGTCTCAGCACAACTTTTAGTAGAACCAGGAGGGGCCAGAGGCTACTTTGACAAGGCCATATGGGTAACCATAAAGGAGAATTGAACTAACCCTGACAGAAATAACACTGCCTCTGCACATGTTATAGCTCTAGAGAAATGAGCATTTCTTCTAAATGGTATCCTTGAAGCTCCCTCCCATCCCTCAGCATTTCCTGGGTAACAATCCAAGCCTGTTGACAGGGCAGGATGAATCCATCTCCACCTATAGAGATTGATGAGAGACCACTTTCAGGAATACTGGAGGTTGGGGGCGTCTGGGTGGCTCAGTCGGTTAAGCATCTACCTTCGGCTCAGGTCACGATCCCAGAGTCCTGGGATTGAGCCCCGCATGGAGCCCCGCAGGGAGCCCCATGTTCGAGCCCCACATGGGGCTCCCCACTCAGTGGGAAGCCGGCTTCTCCTCTCCCACTCCCCCTGCTTGTGGGAAGCCTGCTTCTCCCTCTCCCACACCCCCTGCTTGTGTTCCCCCTCTCGCTGTGTCTCTCTCTGTCAAATAAATAAATAAAATCTTTTAAAAAAAAGAATGCTGGAGGTTGGTCATTAATGCTAATACCATCATAGAGATCTTCCCCTTTTTTGTTAATGGCCTTAAGCCTCAAATATCAGCTGCTGTTCAGAAGCAGAAAGTAGACTGGCCAACCTTGCCATCCATGAGTTATAACAATTAGCCCAGCATTTTGTGCATAGTCTGAATTAAAAAAAAAGAAAACCACACACACAAACTTATGATCCTACAACTTAAACAACTGGAGGGAAACAAAAGGCCCTCCACAAGTACAACACAGATAGACAAAAACACTTGCACATATTGGGGGAAAGAAGTCACTGGGCCTGAACTGCATTGTGTTGGCCAGGACCTGGGCAGTCAAACAAGCTGCTCAATCAGAAAACAAAATGATGCCCTTTAAGGAAGGCATTTTTCAATGCCCCCAAGTGCCTTTGGTTCAGTAAAGTGAAAAAACCCTGTTAGTAAATGATCATTGTATTGATCAGAGTTCTCCAGAAAAACAGAACTAATAGGGTGTGTGTGTGTGTTTAAGGAATTGGCTCATTCAATTGTGAAGGCTGGTAAGTAGGTTGGCAGGCAGGCGACCTAAGGAAGAGTTTATCTTGCAGTTTGAGTCTGAAGATAGCCTACTGGCAGAATTTCCTCTTCTTTAGAGGATGTTTGTTTTTCTTAAGGCCTTCATGTGATTGGATGAGGCATACCCGCATTATGGAGGCTAAACTACTTTACTCAAAGTCTACTGATTTAAATGTTAACCTAATCTAAAAAAATACATTCACAGTAAGACCCATCTATATGCTGCCAAAAGAGACTCATTTCAGACCTAAAGACACCTGCAGATTGAAAATGAGGGGATGGAGAAGCATCACACAAATGGATGTCAAAAGAAAGCTGGCATACCAATGCCAATATCAGACAAAATAGACTGTACAAGAGACAAAGAAGGACATTATATAATCATAAAACGGAGAATCCAACAAGAAGATATAACAATTGTAAATATATATGCATCCAGCATGGGAGCATTCAAATGTATAAAACAATAACAAACATAAAGGAACTCATTGATTATAATACAATAATAGTAGGGGACTTTAACAACACACTTACAGCAATGGACAGATCATCTAAACAGAAAATAAACAAGGAAACAATGGCTTTGAATGACACACTGCACCAGATGGACTTAACAGATATACTCAGAACATTCCATCCTAAAACAGCAGAATACACATTCCTTTCAAGTATACATGGAATATTCTCCAGAATAGATCACATATTACATCATGAAGCAGGCCTCAACAAATACAGAAACATTGACGTCATATGATACACCTTTTCTGACCATAATCTATGAAACTAGAATTCAACCACAAGAAAAATTCTGGAAAGGCCACAAATACATGTAGGTTAAACAACATGCTACTAAACAATGAATGGGTCAACCAGGAAATCAAAGAAGAAATGAAAAAAATACATGAAAACAAATGAAAATGAAAACACAATGGCCCAAAACCTTTGGGATGCAGCAAAAGCCTACCTGAAGAAGCAAGAAAAATCTCAAATAAACAATGTAACTTTATACCTAAAGGAGCTAGAAAAAGAACAAATGAAGCCTAAAGCCAGCAGAAGGAAGGAAATAATAAAGATTAGAGCTCAAATAAATGATATGGAAACTAAAAAAAAAAAAAAAAAACCCCAAAAATCAGATCAATGAAGCCAGGAGCTGGTTCTTTGAAAAATTTAATACAATTGATA